TCAGTTGTAAACCGTCTTGAATTTCTTACCCCACCCCCTTCCCCTTCCCCCGACCATCATTCTACTCTCCTAGTCTTCTTTTATAATGAAGAAAAATGTCTATCGTAATCACGAGGATTCTCGTTTTGACAGATAAATGATTAACTTCATCGACAAATCCCGTGAACGGTTGTTATTCATAACACGGATGACATTTTTGTCGAGGGGAATCGTAAAACAAAATCTTGTCGTATTTTTTTTTTATTGTTTTTCCACAGGATAGATATTGTTCGTTATTGTTAAAATAAGAGGATAACCATATATTATATTTCTCGTTTTTATTATTTTATACGAAATAAATATTAATAATTAATCGTCGTTGAGAGATATCGTTGAGAAAACAAAAGACGAGTCTTACTTTACCTCCGGAGGTTTCCTCCATAAATTATAATTCGTAAAACGTTGTAATTTTAACACACTTTAAATAACATTTTCTCGGAAAAACGTCAATCTTCTTTACCATTTATGTGAAAAAAAGAAAAGAATATTTACCGATTCGTTCTTCGAAGATAAAATGAAAAAAAAAATAAAAAATAGGAAAAGATTTTCCTGGTAACACGAAATTCTTGTTTTGCTTGGCAACGATAAATAATCTTCCGCGAACAATGATCGTTGTTTTGTTTCATGAAAATTGACTGCTTATTCGTAATAATAATTAAGCATATATAAATGTATTACACGCACATTATCCACACCCATACACGTACTACACGTCGTACACGTACACCTATGCGTAAACGTGCTGCGTGGTTAAATTTTATGTTAGAATTTTGAAGATAGGCTTCGTACAGTTCCCCTATTTTCTAAACATGATTCTTTCACTCGTGGTAAGATATTCTTTCTACATCATCGGCGACGAATACGTCAGATCGATGTTACGCGAGCCGTAAGGATATTTCTACCATTCGGAAGCCATGACTCACGTGGCCCAACACACTCGCTTTTGTGTGAAGAAAGCAACCCATCCTCCGTACGGAATACGAAGGAAGACGAGGAGAGGTGGAGAAGAGGGGAGGAGTATATATGTAAAAAAGTTTTACTTCTTATTTCCACGGTTACTTGCGTGCACCGACAGACTACCATCGACGACGTCATCGGTTGTACTTTCGAATGCTTTCGGGTTAAAAAACGATGACGTTATTTCGTGGCAAAAACGTTACGTTGTATTAACGGTAAACTTCTTTAACAATATATTCCAACTTTCTTTTGTTTTTTTTCTTAAATTTAATTTAATTTAATTTACACATTTACGTTTGATCGTTCAGAAAAATTCTTATCGATTCGCGCGTAGAAAAATTGAGATATATTTTTCATTATCTAAAATATAATTAATATATGTGAAATATATAAATTTGTAAATAAAAAAATTATCCAATGATAAAATACTTCTTTTGTAAATTAAATAATACATTTTAATTAAAAATAAATCAATTATAATAATATATATATATTGATATATAAATTATTTTTCGTTATAGAAATGTTTGCGCTATTGAAATTAATACGTAACAATAAATAAAACAAAAGAGAACTCGGCTCGTTAACGTTATCACCATAAAGTTGTGTCCTGGAAAGTGCAACGAGCGGGCGGCCATCGCGTTCTACTCTACTTCCGGTTTCCATTTCATTCATAATACATCACACACAACACGCGTCCGCGCGAAACACACACACACTCATAGATATTACATGTGTCCTATTATTCGTACTTTGACTTGGAGATATCCAAGTATGTATTTAGTCATTTCTTCTTCTATTTACTATACTCGTTTACTATAAATACTTAAACACGAATCGTACTTACTTTCGATCGTATATTATTATTGGACGTTAACTCGTAGCGAAGATCACCGTGCACCCGGATATTCAATTATTTTCACTCGGCGTAGCAGGATACGGCCCTGCGATGCAACTACCAACGTGCATGAACTTTGTAACGTTGGTTGTAACTCCGATTGTTTATTAAAAAGAACAACAGAAAGGACAACATCATACTTGGAAATTGATTTCTGTGTATGTGTCCAATATAATCTATTTAAAATTTTACGTACACATTTTCGTTTAGTTATATTTCATTTTAATTTAATAATTTTTGATCGTTATATGTTACCTGTTCTCAAATGTCTTTAACTAAAAGTGTATCGTATGCATTATATATATATATATATATATATATATTTATTCTTTTTCATTGGAACTTTGTTGTCCGTATGAACATCGTTAACATTCCACATGACTCTCGTCATCTTGCACGAAGAATCAAGTATCGCCGACGTGACAGAAATGATATTTTCCAAAGTATACCACGAATTCGTTTACCAGAATTGTCTTCGTACGAATGATCAAAGTATAATACGAGATAGAAAATTGATCCTCCTTATTGCCAACTGAAAAACTTTTAAAACTTTATTACACCGTCTTACTTAACTAAGTTTCCTATGTGTTGGTGTCTTTCTATATTATTTTCCATATCATGGTTAGTAAAACGAGTTTAGTCGGATAAAGGGAAGTAAATCGTATTAAGTTATGTTCTAAACTGAAAGCCCATTGAAGTTTTACTTTCCTCTTCTTCGTTGTCATAGACTAGGAAGACGTTGAAAAAATGGTGCATGAAATATTCTAGGAAAGAAAGAGATAGAAATGAAGGAACGAGTTGGAGTAAGCTAACAGTATCGTCATCGAAACCCACACACACGTTGTGGCCCCGTTGGTTGTTCTCTCGAACTCGATGGAATGTAACGCCCTCGCATGGTTTACATGCAGAATGAGCTTAATTTTGTTTTTCATGGAAGTAGCATCGTTGCAACTTCTTTTTCCCCCTCTCACAAACATAACATTCATATATTTTTTATTACATTGTTTAAAATAAACTTCATTATCTAATACACCAATCGATGAAATCGGTTTATTCATCTCCGTAAAAGTTAACATTGATATTTTTATCCGATAATTGTTCTAAAATAAATTTCATTATTTATTAGACGTAACGATTGTTTCGAATATTCACGGTCGAGGTAGTTAAGCAAACAGTTGAATAGTTTGTTAGTACAATACCTTGTTGGTGTGTTATCGAGGTTGATGCTCGTTTCATCCACGAGCACGTGCTAATTTCGTTAATTATCCTAACGAACTCTACGGGTTCGTGTTATCACGTGCGATTAACGATCCGCGATAATTACTACGGTACAAGGCGCATCTAGCACCCATGCTTTCAGTTTGTTCACTAGTTTACTTTTGATAATTTGGATACAATGTTGTTATTCAAAGTTCCACTGCAAAAATTCGACCATATTGAAATAATAATAATAGTAAATGCAATAAATGCAATTTTAGTTTGTTTTTTCTTCTTTGTTCTTCCTTTTTCTTCCCTTTTTTCTTTGTTTTTTTTTTTTAGCGAATACATCAAAGTTCAATTTACGAGATCATTTTATTCAATGGAATGAAACGTTTCAAACTTTAACTTCCCGGAACGTTTCTCATCGCGTATGCTTCCTCATTTCGACTCATCAATCAATTTGCACACATTTCCGCGGTTTCATAGACCTTCTGTTCTCTGATACAGAAGAGAATATTGCAATTTGGAAAAGAAAAAGGAAAAAGAAATGTTGAAAAAAAAAAAATTGCACGTTGTTTTGCGTTGATCAAATTAAACGTACGATTTGCTTAGAAGTTTTTGCGTATATTTCACAAAGAATGTTGATTAACCAAACGTGTGATTATTGATTACGTAGGAAGATGAAGAATTTCTTTTTCTTCTGTCATTTTCGACCTGCTTATACATAGAAGGTTAAAGAAAATCAGGGGTGTTGGGACATTGTGGGAGTCCTCGTTTAACGGTTGAACGAGCAATCGTTTGTTGAATTCTCGCGAATACCAAAGACGATCGAAGAAATGTCCGGCAATTAGTGTAAAACTGGTTTTCTTCCAAGGGATCGTTCGATAAGTCGGCACAAAGCACCAACATCATCACCAGCAGTAACAGCAGCAGCAGCAGCGAGAATCACAGATCCTCTTACCGGATCCTCCTCTCCCTCCTTCATCTTCATTAAACTCCATTCTATGTTATTGGAACGTTCTTCTACTCTACTTTACTCGGATCCTAACCGATTTGATCCGATTCTAGAATTTTTTCTACTACGTTTTTCCTCACGAACTCTTTCGTAGATTACTCGAGAACCTTCTTTCGTTTGCTGACTCGTCAATATTCTTATCTCTCTCTCTATCATTCATTTATTTTCCCTATCTATATATTAATGTTTTAAGAGAGAAAAAAATCAACAAGTTCATTGCCTATCGTTATCATAATCAACAAAGTATTGAAGTATGCAAACTCCTCGACGATTATTATGAAAGTTTCTAATTTATAAATCATACAAAGTTTCGTTTTATTTTTGAATTGTAGCACGCGCAGTTAATCCAAGATTGTAAACGTTGTTGTTGTTGTTTGATATGAGTCAGATATTTCGTATCAATGAATATATCGATTAGAACGATAATCGATTTATCTCTATTCCAAGTAACCTCGACACGTTCCTCATTTTATATACGTTATATCATTTTTATTGTGGACTATTATTTAAGATAAATATCAGTATGAGCTTGAAACACTTTTAATGACAATATTATTGCTGAGAGACATTTCTCTTGGTCGGGTACGTGCTAACCCCGCACAGTAGCCTCGTCTTTCCACTCTCATTATCTCTGTTACAGAGCATTACCGACTGATTGAGAACAAGCGAACATGTGATCAGGATATCCGATACTTCATTGAGATATCCGATCATGAACCTTTAAATACGCAATTTTATCTCTACCACGTATTTGTTTTTTCCTTTTTCTTTTTTTTTTTCTATCAGTCATTTGATCAAGGCTAACCCAACATACGTAATTGTTTAGAAGATTATTGATTTTGATTTAAATTTGATACCCCGTCTAAATAATTTTTATTTGTCCTTGTTTAGATTCCCAAGATGTCGACTTGGATGCAATACTCGGTGAACTGTGCGCATTGGAACGACGTTGCGACGGCGATATCGCAGCCACTACTCCAGCTCAGGATTCTCAGAGACAGAGTCGTCCCAATAACGGAAGGATCACTGCTACAGATAACACGGACATCGGCAAAAACGAGGGTGGTAAGGGATTTCTTTCATTCGATGTCCGTCGTTATTCGTCCAATAAATTTTGTTCGTGATACCATCCGATTTTGCCAATCGATTGCAACGTCGTCATCCTTGCCGATTTGCGAATAAAAATGGGATTACAAATGATGATTTTTTTTTTTTTTTTTAAAGGTATTCGTACGGATAGTCCAGACAATGACAGCGCATTTTCGGACACCGTTTCGATGTTGTCCAGCGAAAGTTCAGCGAGCAGCAGTGGTTCTGGACACAAACCACCACAAACCGCCATTCATACGGCTTCTCAACAGCAACCGCATCAACATATGGGTTGGTATTCAAATATTTCAGTTTTGATATTTTGTTTTTTTAGGACATTATTGAATGATCGAAAATTTTAATTTTAATTTTTAGATGCCGCGGGAAGAGCAAAAGCTGAGAAAATACGACTTGCACTGGAAAAAATGCGAGAGGCCAGTGTTCAAAAGCTATTCATCAAAGCTTTCACATTAGATGGCAGTGGGAAAAGTCTCCTAGTAGATGAAGGAATGAACGTTGGTCTCGTTACTAGGCTTCTTGCAGATAAAAATCACGTGCCAATGGATCCAAAGTGGGCAGTTGTCGAACACTTGCCAGACCTTTTTATGGGTAATTTAGAAGTCACTGTAACTTGGATTTTGAATAAATTTCAGTTAATTTTTTGGCTAACGATGAATATTTATTGGTTATAGAACGAGTATACGAGGATCACGAGCTATTGGTAGAAAATTTGTTACTTTGGACTAGAGACTCCAAAAACAAATTGCTCTTCGTTGAAAGGCCTGATAAAAATCAACTGTTCTTCACTCCTGAAAGATTCCTGTTAGGTCATTCGGACAGATGTTGCAACGAATACGACGATCATTCTCGTAATATGCTTTTGGAAGAATTTTTCACAAGTATCAACGTTGGCGTTCCTGAGGTAAATATTGGAACTTATCAATTTTTGTGTTAATCTTTTGAAACGTTCCTTAATCAGATTTGTCTTGTTTTTAGGTTGAGGGACCATTGTATTTGAAATCAGACAGTAAAAAAGGTTGGAAAAAGTATCATTTCATACTTCGTGCATCTGGACTTTATTATTGGCCAAAAGAAAAGGCTCGTACTGCGAGAGATCTCGTATGTTTGGCTACATTTGATGTAAATCAAGTTTATTACGGTGTCGGTTGGAAGAAAAAGTATAAGGCACCGACAGATTTTTGTTTCGCTATTAAACACCCGAGATTACAGCAACCAAAATCAACTAAGTTTATCAAATTTTTATGCGCGGAAGATAATGCGTCTTTGGAAAGATGGATGGTTGGGATTAGGCTTGCCAAATACGGTAGACAACTAATGGGTAACTACAGGGTTGTAATGGATGAGATTGCACAGGAAGACCTCGATCTATTGGCACACGCGAGATCATGCTCGGTCAGCTCGATTGCCGTGCCACCTAATCAAACTCAATATAATACTACCAATGACAATGCTAGACAATTCATCGAAAATGCAAGGCACGAGACACAAGCTACGACGAGGCAATACGATAGTCAAAGGCAAAGTTACAATTCGGAACAGAGGCAGAGTTACAATAACGATGGAAGGCTTAGCAGAGCCAGTAGTTCCAGTTCCAGCGGTTGTTTGTCCGATGGAGCACCGAGTAGTTGTGAGGTAATCAAATATTCCTTACGTATTTTGATTTCTTTGATAGAAAGATTATGAATCGAAAACTAATGTATTTGTCCTCTCCTCCCTACCCCATTCCAGGTGGCTTTCGAGTGTGGTGAATTTCCAACGGGAACGATTAAGCGAAAACCTTCCATGAACCCAAAACTTCCTCTAACATCGATAACGAGGCAATTGAAGGAAGTCGGAGAAACGGTACGCGACGAGCCAGATTCTTGTCCGAGCCCAACCAGCTCCGGTTCGGGTACCCTAACCCGAAGACACAGTCGTAGAAGAAGTGGCACTGATTCGGACGGATCAGGTACTTTGAAAAGACATCATAGATCTGGTAATGCAACCCCAGTTAGTCCTGTACCACCTGGAACGCCGGTGAGGGAAAGGGCCAGCCCTATGGGATATGGGAGAACGGAGAGTCAAGAGTCCAAGACACCGACCAGTCCTATACAACCGTGTATGGTGAGTAATTGGAGACGAATATAGTCGTAAACGAGGTTCTATTATCCTTAGAACAGATCAATTCATTACCTTCTATTGTAGATGGATTCTATCACATCTCTGCCACCTCCACCGTCCCCATCGAGAGTCGCCGAAGAAGGGGAATCCGATAGCGAACCATTACCACCACCACCCCCAGAAATGTTTCGTTCGAATCTCTCTCTGGATTCTTTACCACCACCACCAGGACTGGGCGAACTTCCAGTATGCAACACGCCAGAGTTGACTGGTTCTTCGTTGAGTCTTGCTTCCTTACCACCACCACCGAGTCCACTTGTTGGTGAGACCGGTACGATACGTCGCGCGAGACCAAAAACATCGAGTAGTCCGTCGAATTCGATGACTCCCGAAAACACGCCCACGCATACTGCGTCAAGACCATCTAACAGTAGCAATCAAATATATACAAGCATCCCACAAAATACTTCTTCTGCCCTACAAAACAGTCAGAATTATGAAAGCGGCAGTAATGCGACAGGTGCATCAGCAAACTCGTCGGCTTCTCCACACAGTTCCTATCCTGGCTCGAGTGCCAGCACACCGACTTACGCACCAAGTTCGCCGAGTTTCACGTCACCGCCACCCTTCGTCCCACCCCCAGCTTACGGTACACAAACACAACACGTTGGGACGCAAAGTTTGACACGACAGAATTCGAAATCCGAGTCGATTTACGGGAGTAGTCACCAGAGCGGGCACAATACCGTACCTAATCCGATCAGGCCGAATCCGAACATGGACACGGTCAGAAGGAGTGCAATGAAACAGGGTACGAGTCATTACGCTGCCCCGCCCTATCTCGCCGAGTTGAAAGCTGCGTCGAGTCCTCAACCGCAACGTCGAGTGACCATTCAAGAACCACCGACGTCACCCAAGTCAAAAACTGGCACGGGTAAAAAGATCTCGTTCAATTTACCAGCTCAACAAGAGCCCGGTAGTCCAGCGTTACCGCTAAGAAAACCGATGCCACCGAGAAGATCCGATAGTACGCGATTGACGTCCCCTAAAAAATTAGCCGCATCTGATCAAGCACCGCCAGGTGACTTTTTGAAGGATCTCCAACGAGTCATGAGAAAGAAATGGCAGGTTGCACAAAAGTGTAAACTCGACTCGACCACAACTCCGCACGAAGTCTTAGGTTTCCGAGATCCACCACCAGCCGTTGCTGATTACAGAGAAACCAACGTATCCAATTGGGTACAGGAACACTACGGAGTTGACAATCTCTACGAAAATGTCTACACGACGGATCCCCATGCACCCCTCGAATACGCGTCGAGTCCTGCTCGTCAAGCAACCGTCAGATTCGCCGATGAAAATCGTAGCATTAATATCGTCAATGCCATTGCTAGTAAAAGGAGACCACCACCACCTCCACCCAAAAGGGCAGAAACCACGCATTTGACCACGACTAGGGCGATGCACTGACAATAGCAGATAATACAACCTCATCCAGAGAGGCGATGGTATTGCTGCTTGTGCGGCTGGTGGAAGGATTAAAAAAAGGACAAATTTTTGTAGATTCTTCCATCTTTCATTTTTTCATTCGTGGTATCATCCTGCACAACGTTTAACAACGTTCGTTGTTGCTTCGCCTCGCTGAACATAATTTGTTTAATCTAATGGGAAATATTCTTCAAGCTTAGCTTCGTTGGTCCTTGTCAAATACGTTTCACGATAGCAATGTGCTGCCGATAAAGATTTTCTTTTCTCAGAATAACATGACGCTGATTCCAACGACTTGGACGATACGAGCATAATAATTCCTACTTTGATATCGTAAAAATATTTGATGTCAATTATCTCAAAGCGCCAGGATCAAACTAAAGTCCAATTATGACACGCGTTATTTATTCGTTCCAATTTTTCGTGATGTCGTCCTGCTTGATAAACTTTTATGTTTATCCTTTGATACAATTTTTGAAACTAGTTCGGTGGAGCACAAAAAGAAAAAAGAAAAGGAAAAAAAAGGAAAATGCTGATCACTGCCGAAAAACCTCATTTATGAAAAAGAGAATTATAAAAATGATGTCGTGCTTTAAATGCTCCCCCATTTCAAGGTCATTACTTGACACGTAGATGAAACAGTGCTGTACTGTGTTTAACTGCATTTAAACTGCGTTTAAGGATGTGATATACGTAAAATATCAAGCTTGGATCCTGCCTGTTTGCTAAAAGTAAAAAAGAAAAACGAAAAAAAGTAAAAAAGACTATACTCGTATAGTAGAAATAAAAGGAAGAGTCTTAGCCGAAATAATATTTTGCGAGATTCTAATATCTAATGCTAATGTGCATCGTTTCGCTTGATATAAAACAAAAAATATTAGACAAAAAAAAAGGGTTCGGTGTTTAATCTCGCAATTCCGAATCATTTATTATATATGTTTTTTGGTTCTTATATTTTTTGGTTCTTATGTTTCTTATTTTATTTTGATAACCAAGGTGCTTTACAATGCAGTTAGTAAAAGATACTGAAAAAAATAAAAGAAATTAATAACGTGGGAAAATAAATAAAAATTGATAGAACAGTTAGTGCGACGTTGTGTAACGTTGACAGCGCTTAATTAATTAATGAAATCGATTGATTGATTGATTGATTGATTGACAGATAAATGATCCTTTATACATACATAGGTAATATAACGTGTATATAGAAACTAATACATATGTGTGTTTATATTCGATATAATTGACAATGATGCTGTGTATGTTAGGTATACCGTATCCCTTTCGAAATACGTTCTTAATGAATAACGTGGACACGATTGGATTAGGAATAAAATTTTAAACAAATAAAATAAAAGGAAATATAAGCGATTTTTAGATTAGATTTCAATCTTTTTTCTTCTTATTTCTCTCAAATTAAACTGACAAAAACTATTTCGAATTCTCTATTATAATATGTGTGAAAGATGAGAGAGTTCCTTCGAGAATTTCGAAATTCGTATATATATAGATATATATATGTAGTGTATGTTTTTAT